GAGGTACAGAAAAGGGCTGGGGAGCCGGAGGGGGTAAAATATTGAAGTAGTTGGTAAGAATCAGAGGTAGGTAGAGAGGTAGGGAATGAAGGGCGGTTGGAGGTAAGTGGAGGGAATGAATGAGAAGAGGAAGGATGTAAGTTGTTGGTCATAGGGTGAGGATGGAGGTAGGTGATGTGGGGTGAGGATGGAGGTAAGTAGTATGTGATAAGGACAGGATGAAGGTAGGTGATGGGGAGAGGATGGAGGTAGATGGGGGGAGATGGGGTGAGGATGAAAGTAAGTGGAGGGGAGATGAGGAGAGGAAAGGTAGGTGGTGGGGAGATGTTGGAGATAGGTGGTGGGGGTGGGGAGATGTTGGAGATAGGTGGTGGGGAGAGGATGGAGGTAAGTGGCAGTGGATGAGAACAAGAAGGTGGGGTGGGGAGAGGATGGTGGTGGGTAGGTGATGGGAGATCATTTTCTCCCTCTAGTGGCACATGTTCAGGTTGGAGATAAGTGGGCCGATAATCAGGATGGTGGGGGGCATTCAGATGGCATTGGGGTGCTTCTCCTCTGATAAGGACAGTCAAAGTGTTGTATTTTTTTATCCTCTGTATTCTCATACATTCTCTGTATTTTCCCCCATATTTGGGAACTCTTCCCCATCGTGTTGCCTTCACCCCGGGTCTCAGCTTTTTGCTTTTGGTGAGTTGCTGGTGGCGTTATGTTCCTCTCACTTACTCACTTGTGTGTTGTAGGACCTCTTATTCAGTGTTTGTGGCCTCACCATCTTCTCCACCATCATCTGCACCTTGTCCGCTGTCATCTGCTGCGTTCAGATTTTCTCATTGGATGTCATCCATGTTGTAAGTCCCATACCGTGCGTGTACACACCCAGCTTCCATCATGGTTGCCTTTCTCCAGACCACGCACACAAATAATGGTTTCTCTGTCCCTCAGCTAGCGCCTCACCGATCCACCTCCATCAATTTGGAGTGCTTCTCCCCCCAGGACACCATCCTGCAGAGCATGATTGAATGCGAGGAGTTCGTTCCTCCGGTGCCACCTCCGCCATATTACCCTCCAGAATACACATGCAGCTCCGAGACTGACGCACAGAGGTAAGTGACCTCCGGCTGTTATCCACATCAAAGGACCCTCTTACTGTCTTTGTTGCATGTAGGCCGTGTAACGTTAAAATACAATTCCGAATTCTCAATCTAATATATGAGGGCCTCTTGATTTGACCCACTCTTTATAGCTCCTCATTAAGCTTCAGTTTAGCCTAATTCTGTGTTCTTCCTCTGCTCGCACTTGAGATTTCTCGTGTTCTCCTCATTTTCCCTGCAGGCCATTAGACACTCCCAATGAAACAAGTCAGTCTGGCTTGGCCATATCTGACATTTTGGTTATTGGTGGATGTTGGAGTGTTGGGTCACCCAGTGATTTCTTTCAACTCTTTGGGAAGCCAGTGGCGACATTTTACTGACCCCAGTGAGGCCTCTCTTTTCCTGGTGCAGTCTCTGTAAAGAAAATGATAAGCACACTCATGTTTGTAATTACTGCAGCGGGGGGGCTTGGAGATCTCATTGCTGGTGCCACCAATGGCGATCTAGTCCACCATCATGCTTCCATAATCGAACTATTAGATTTGGATAGAGTGATCCTTCCAGGCAGACAGATGTAGACTGCTCCGTAAAGTCTCCAGAGTAGCTCACTGACTGCACTTCTGTATGTGTTTCCAGCATCACTTATAACGGCTCAATGGACAGCCCCATCCCGCTCTACCCCACAGACTTCCCTCCCTCGTACGAGAGTGTCATGGGGCTTCGGGAGGACAGCCAGGTAGGGACTTAGCACTCATCTACTGCATTGCGAGGCTGTCAGTTTGGTGAAATTATCTAGACTTTTTCATTTCTGCAGGCCACTTTGTACGATGCCCAAGCCCAGCAGAATTCAAACCACAGCATATGTGATCGGAGAGACTCCACTGGACACAGCGGGAATGGTGAGATGACGCTAGATTTAGTGGTAATAGTGAGATGGTCATGATAGTAAACTAGGTTTAGCGGTTATGGTGGGATGGTTGAGATTATAGACTAGGTTAATGGTAATGGTGGGATGGTTGAGATCATAGACTATTTTTAATGGTAATGATGGGATGGTCAAGATAGTAGACTAGGTTTAGCAGTTATGGTGGGATGGTTGAGATAGTAGACTAGGTTTAGCGGTTATGGTGGGATGGTTGAGATAGTAGACTAGGTTTAGCGGTAATGGTGGGATGGTTGAAATCATAGACAATTTTAATGCTAATGATGGGATGGTCAAGATAGTAGACTAGGTTTAGCAGTTATGGTGGGATGGTTGAGATAGTAGACTAGGTTTAGCGGTAATGGTGGGATGGTTGAGATCAACCACTATTTTGAATGGTAATGATGGGATGGTCAAGATAGTAGACTAGGTTTAGCAGTTATGGTGGGATGGTTGAGATAGTAGACTAGGTTTAGCGGTAATGGTGGGATGGTTGAGATCAACGACTATTTTTAATGGTAATGATGGGATGGTCAAGATAGTAGACTAGGTTTAGCAGTTATGGTGGGATGGTTGAGATAGTACACTAGGTTTAGCGGTTATGGTGGGATGGTTGAGATAGTAGACTCGGTTTAGCGGTTATGGTGGGATGGTTGAGATAGTAGACTAGGTTTAGTGGTTATAGTGGGATGGTTGAGATAGTAGACTAGGTTTAGCGGTTATGGTGGGAGGCTTGAGATAGTAGACTAGGTTTAGCGGTAATGGTTGGATGAAGGATATAGTAGACTAGGTTTAGCAGGAACAGTGGGTTGGTGGAGACAAGTGGGAAGAGTAGTGGTGGTGGTGGTCAGCTGGTGGATCCTGGGTCCATTATCATCCAATTAAAGTGTCTGTCTTGCATTGGAACGTAGAGAAGTATCTTATGAGATCTGGTCCTGGTGTTCTTTGCCCTCCATGCCTCTCTTGTGTTGGATGATGATGGTGCTTTTTTTTTGCAGACAGCAGCCCTTCTGAAGATTCTGTCTTATTGGATGTCCAGGGTTCGGTGCGGTCTGTGGATTATGTCTTGTATCGCTCCATCCAGCGTAGCCGGGCTGACTACTGTTTGAGTGTGGATTGCGGTCAGTGTGGACATCACCAGCAGAGCCACACCCTCAGCCTGCAGGGGCCTTTTGAGGACGTGTTGGTTCCCCATATTAAAGGGGGACGCAGTTTCTCCTGTTCCACACCTAGTTCTTGCCAGGACCCTCCATCCACTGTGGGAAGTGGCACCACACGTAGCTGTAACAGGCTGGAAAGTGTTGGGACACGGGCTGGTCCGTGTTTCTCTGAGTTGCGAGTAAAGGGGAAAGTTCCTCGTGGGAGGGAGCTAAGCCACAGCTCCGGGTGTTCCCTCCACCACACCTCCCCCTGCCAGACTCCAGACTGCCCCCACCGCCGATACAGTGAGAACACACGGCCTAAAGCTCTTTGCACCATTCAGGCACCGCAATTTGTAGTCCGTTCACACAGTGACCCTGGAATCTCCTCCATGTTCCAGACAGGTGAGAGAGGACGTCATGGTTTCTCCCTTTTTACATCACTGTGGAAAAAATGTTTCTACATTCCAAGAGACAGACCAGTCACCCCTCGCTGATGATGTCACAGTGGAATATTTTCAACAGTTTGCTGGTGATAACGTCTTGGTATCTAATATTTCTTCTTCTATTCTGCAGATTTTGGAGATGTGGATTATTTGAAGGTTCTAGAAGAGGACAACCTTTTCCTCTCCTCTGTAGATGGAGCAGGTAAGAGAGTCAGAGGAAAAGCTTAATCTATGATGACCAATGACAGCTTCCAATTGGCACCTCCCAGTTGTACCAGATTCTGCTCTGCTATTCACGTATTGTGTGTGGCTTTCATGTCTGTCTCTGCAGCTTTTTGCACCGAGGCCAGCCTCCGAAGACACCACCTGCCCGCCTCCCCCTTACTTCTTCGCACGGGTTCAGCTGGTAAGAATCGCTTCCTAGTGACAAACAGGACGATCCAGCGACTCTCTAGAAGCGGTGCTTTTTCCCTTGGAGACCTGAAGGGAGGGCGTAACACCCGGATGCTGATGGCCCGATTCCTGAACCGATCCCGAAGGAGCCTAAAGGAGGGCGGAGACAACACAAAGCAGGTGAGGGAAGGCAGGACAATGCCTTATGACATTGCACATCCATGGAAGGTACTCTCCCGATGCATCAGAATCCATTTACTGGTACTCAAGTGTAAGAATGAGATTAGAGGTACAAGGATTATGGGGGCATTTTACAGACACATGAGCCCTTTCTTAGGGTCATTGGTGTCTTTGATCATTTGACAGGGGGCCAGGTTCGATAAAACCACTTCTGCCATTCATGGTATTGACCCCTCTTGTTTGTTTGTTTTCCCTCAGCCTCTGAAGAGTCCACTCCCCCTGGACCCCGAGAGACGGCCCGTCAGGATGCCCATGCAGAGTTGCGGAGACCTCAGCTCCACTTCTTCTCTCCGCCGCCTCCTGTCTGGCAGTCGGCGAGGAAACCGGCGTCCACACAGCCTGAGTGGAGCGCCAAAAGAGAGCTCGGTGTGAAGAGAACATTTCCAGGAACATAGTGACTGCTGACCACCCAGAGCCCAGCATGGGCCAATCGCACCCTGAGGTGACCTCACAATAAGTGACCTTACAGTACTCAGTCCACGAGGCCATCCAAGTCCCTGGCTTTTCTTCGAAATTTCATTTCATGCTCAGTTTTCGCTACAGAAGGGCTAACACTCAGTTGCATCCTCTCCACCACACGTGGCACACTTCACATTGTCCGTGACGGTAGATAGCGCAAATCATCCACCGTTTTCAGCTTTTCTTTCCTGAACCTCAAACATGACCTGTGCGTTCAAGGGACTTTCCAGGTGCATTCACACTGCCACAGTTCCTCTGCTGTGATAGGTACATCTATTTCTGACTCCTTCAGTCCATTACATTTTTATTTTGTTCCATATCTGGTTTGCGTGCAGTCAGTGCATGGGATTGCACCGTATAGAACCCTGCAGGACGCGCGCTATACACATCCGAAATGCATGTAGATGCCCTTGCGGTGCATTGTGGGAAAATCCGCTGCATGCCAGGAGCCGAACTGTCCTCTGGTTTTATATGCATGTGACTACACTGCCCAGGAAAGACGCTTTCTAGAGGCGCGGACATGTCCCTGCCCGGTTCATTGTAGGAGAACACCAATATATCATTCTGGAAGGGATTGCCGGTATGGCCATTCCCAACCAATCACACTGCAGCTGTGACTTATGTACAGCAGCTTCGGATAGTGTAAGGATGCTTTTGATTGGTTATCATTGGACACTTCCTTCTGGTCACAATATAAGAAGTATCGCAGCTCTCCCTGTAGACCTTCCATTCTGTACAATCTGCTACATACAATCTGTCCTTTACCATCGGCCAACCCAATATACATTTTGTTAGCTCTGTTCAATCTCTACCCTAGCAAAGCTTTGTCTGCAGCCTATTTTGATCCCGGTGAAGCCTTACAAGTCACAAGGATACATAAAATCCAGAACTGATTCAAACATTATAAGCCACGTCAGAGGAAATTCACAATATTCCTGGAACCGTGTGGAGTGTTTCTGATATTGGCGACTCTTCGGAAAAATACAATGTTGTGGATTCTGGGTGGAAAAGGACAGGTCGCGTTTACAATGATGATGGGAAATGAACATTATGTGACTATGGATTGTGGAGGAGTAGGAAATTGTCGGTTCTGTGTGTATATTGACAATAAAAGTTTCCACATTTAACAGTGACGTAGAATCCTTGTCTGTTTGTTAGTCAGATCATTCATTTCACCAACAGTCTTCCCTTGTGTAGACAGCCTGTAGGTAGGTGCAGTATGGCCTACGGCCACTAGATGCCCCCATGGGGCCCTAGAGATAGATGCAGCTCTGGCCTGGGGAGTCTCTGTGTCCCAGGAGAGTTGATTTATAGGGGGCGCCCGAGAGGGGAGAAGAGTTCAGTTCAGGAGTTCAGTACAGGAGAGCAGAAGTCTAAGACTGTATGCAGAGTCTCTGGAGAGAGACTGATTTTAAAACATAGGCTGGTCCATGGGAAGGACAGGACCAGGCCTAGGACTATGTAGAGCTACTGAGATTCCCCAGTTTCCCCTGGAGGGGGAAACCACCGAGCTAGGACTGACAAGGCTGGGATTCTGAAGAATAGGGAGAAGCTGTAAGACTGACGATATTTGCCAGTGGGCCTTTGGCCGAAGTAAGTCGTGGACTCTGGGCTGCACCTTGGCTGTACCTCTCTCTCTCTAAATTGTGTCACTATGCAACTATCAAGAACTGTGCTGTCATCCCACCCGGGGGTGGCTGAACGTATGCTTTGTTCTGTTAATACTTTCAAGTAAAACCAAGAAAAGACTATCTGTGTGGGCTGGTTCTTCTCCCTCCAACCGCTGAGAAGGTGGGGTTCTACAGGAGTGTGATGTTGGACTGTAACGTGGCTGTAACCATCCTGAGGAGGGTAGGTGTGCAAAGAGGCTATGCCCGACGGGGTGCCGTTCATGGTGGCCTTTCTCCCTACGGGGGAGGAAGCGCGGAATACCGTAGAGGCGGTTGAAGCCTTGAGGCCCTGTGTGCACAGTACTACACGTGTGGGAGTGTTTGCACGAGGCCAGAGCCGTGGCCCCTGACCGTGGGGTGCCTGGTTTTGAGTTGCATACACAGGGTTACACAGCCAACCCAAAGGGAACATACACGCAACACCCCAAGAGTGAACCCCACCTACAAGCCTGACAGGAAATCCCTTCTGACTGCAAGACTTAGAAGGGATTGAAAGGAAAAACTGAATGTGTTATGTAGGCCACCCACATTGAGGGAATTTAGAAGAAAAATGTGGTGCGCATAGTGCTGCCCGCCACTTACATGTGTGCATGATCTAAAAAGTTGGCATGGTCAATAAGGCGGCTGTATGGCTTGCGGTGTGCAACCTTCCCCACTTTGCATTCCTATGGACAAAATAGGGCCTGGGGGTACACTGAAGAGATTGTGGAAGTTAAATAAGCCCCATTGTTTGTGTCAGTGCCAGCAATGAAGGCCCCCAGCAAGTGTTAGGGCCAGCAATAACCCCCAGCAAATGTTAGGGCCAGCAATAACCCCCAGCAAATGTTAGGGCCAGCAATAACACCCAGCAAGTGTTAGAGCCAGCAATAACCCCCAGCAAATGTTAGGGCCAGCAATAACCCCCAGCAAGTGTTAGAGCCAGCAATAACCCCCAGCAAGTGTTAGGGCTAGCAATAACCCCCAGCAAATGTTAGGGCCAGCAATAACCCCCAGCAAATGTTAGGGCCAGCAATAACCCCCAGCAAGTGTTAGAGCCAGCAATAACCTCCAACAAGTGTTAGAGCCAGCAATAACCCCCAACAAGTGTTAGAGCCAGCAATAACCCCCAACAAGTGACAAGGCCAGAAAAACCCCTCAGCAAGTGTTAGGGCCAGCAATAACCCTCAACAAGTGTTAGGGCCAGCAATAACCCCCAGCAAGTGTTAGGGCCAGCAATGATAATCCTAAGCAAGTGTTCCTCCTAAAAGTGATAACCCCCAGCAAGTGTTAGGGCCAGCAAAAAACCCCACCAAGTGTTAGGGCTAGCAATAACCCTGAGCAAGTGTTAGGGCCAGCAATAACCCTCAGCAAGTGTTAGGGCCAGCAATAACCCCCAGCAAGTGACAAGGCCAGAAATAACCCCCAGCAAGTATCAGGACCAGCAATGATAATCCTAAGCAAGTGTTACTCCCAAAAGTAATAACCCCCAGCAAATGTCTGGGCCAGCAATGATAACCACCAAGTGTTAGAGCCAGCAATAGCCCTAGCAAGTGACAATGCCAGAATTAACCCCCAGCAACTGTCAGAGCCAGAAATAACCCCCAGCAAGTGTCAGGGCCGGCAATGGTAACCCCCAGCAAGTGTCAAGGCCAGCAATGGTAACCCCCAGCACAACAATAACCCCCACCTCAATAACAACCCCCAACACAACAATAAACACCAGCACAATTATGACCCCCATCACAACAATAAACCCATGGCTTAATATTAACCCCAGACTCGATATTAACCCCCCACCCCAAAAAAACCCAGCAGTGGTGTTTAACAGTTTACATATCTTAATTACTTATTTTCAGCAAAGGCAGCAGGGGCTATGGATGGGGGTGCTTAAAATGTGGGGGGTGCTGGAGCAAACTCAAGCATCTCCCTGGCAACAGGCATCTCCCTGTTGCCACCACTGATGGACCGTCACAGAAAGTAATTAGACACTCGCTGAAGAGGAGAGAGCTATAACATACAAAAAGGGAAGGCTGGGCTTGGGAATCGACTCTTCCTGGAGTATTCAAGATTTTCTAGCAAACTCAGAAGCAATTTGCGAGTGAATATAAAAAATGATTAATGGCAAGGAAAAACACTGCAAGTGAGCATTTATATACTGGATTTTTTGACTGATATCCTGGCTAGGATAGTAGGGGGATGGGAAATATAAATACGCCCTACAGACGACCCTAGTTTTAGCACCCTCACACAGCCAGCAGAGATCCAGCATGCTGGTTCATTTCTCAGCCCAATGTTCCCTCCGATTCCTGCAGTCATGTCATGTCACTTTATTTCCGGAGACACTTTACAAAGAGTGTCTCCCCCCCCAACAAAGAGAAGGATAATATCAAGACAGATGGTTGTGACATCAGAGATTTATTGTGTGCACTGTTGGTCGCTTTGGCTTTTGTTGACTTTATGGTGAATGCTGTAAGTGAATTCCAATAATAGGGTTCCTCCAAATATTATTAGATGCTCCCTGAAGCTCCAGCAAGGGCTGCCACCCCACTTCCCGGTGGTCTTCCATTTATCATTTGAGATCCTTCTTATGGCTCAGCAATGGCAGCTCCATGGGAGTCTTCCATATAGGACCCCTATAAGGTTTAGAAATGGCTATCCCCAGGGGCCATCCATATAATAGTAGAGGCCCTCCATAAGTTTCATTAATGGCTTGCCGCGTTGGGTCCTCCCTATATTATTAGAGACCCCCCATAAGGTACAGCAGGGGTCCCTCCTCAGGGGTCCTCCATATATTATTAAAGACCCCCATTAGGTCCAGTAATGGCTGCTCTTCAGAGGTCCTCCATATATTATTAAAGACCCTTATAAGGTCCAGTAATGGCCACTCCTCAGTGGTCCTGCATATATTATTAGTAACCCCGTCATAAGATCCAGCAATGGCTGCTCCTCGAGGGTCCTCCATATATTTTTAGAGACCCTCCATTAGGGCTAGCTAAGGCCACTCCTTGGGGGTTCTCCATATATTATAGGAAACCCCCATAAGGTCCAGTAATTTGCCACGTCTCAGGGGTCCTCCACATTTTATTATATACCCTCCATAAGGTGCAGCCTATGGCTGTTCTTTGTGGTCTCTTCATGTATTACAAGAAAGCCCCATAAGGTCCAGCACTGGCTGTTCCCTTGGGGGTCCTCCATATAAGAGACCCCCATAAGGTTCAGGAATAGCTGATTCTTGGGGGTCCTCCATATATAATTTGTTTTTAAAAAGTTCCAGTAATGGCCATGCCTTAGGGGTCCTCCATATATTATTGTAGACCCCTGATAAGGTCCCCAAATGGCTGATCCTTGGGGTCTTCCATATATAATAAACCCCCCAAAAAGGTCCAGTAATGGCCACGCCTATGGGGTTCTCCATATAGTATTAAAACCCCCCATAAGGTCCAGCAATGGCTGCTCCTTGGGGGTCCTCCATATATTATTAGAGACTCTCCATAAGGTCCAGCTATGGTCGTTCCTTGGAGGTCCTCTATATATTATAAGAAACCCCCATACATGGAGGTCCTCCATATATTATTTAAAAAAAGCCATCAGCTCCAGCAATGGCTGCCCCCATGGGAGTCCTTCATATATTATTAGAGACTCCCATAAGGTCCAGCAATTGCTGCTCCTTGGGGGTTCTCTATATATTATTATTATACAGGATTTATATAGCGCCAACAGTTTGCACAGCGCTATACAAAATGGGGGAGACAGTACAGTTACAATACAATTTAATTACAAGAGGATTAGATTATTAGAAACCCCCATAAGGTCCAGCAATGGGTCCTCCATATATTATTAGAGATCCTCCTTAAGGTCCAGCTATGGCCATTTCTCGGGGGTCCTCTAAATAAAAAAAACCCCATAAGGTCCAGGAATGGCTGATCCTCGGAGGTCTTCCATATAATATGACAGACTCCCATAAGGTCCAGCAATTGCCAGCCCCCCAATGGCCCTCCAGATATTATTAGACACCCCTTTAAAGGCTCCCATATGGTCCAGCAATGGCCATCCCTGGGGGTCTTCTCTGTGACCCCGGCAGAGTCTGTAATCACCAGAGAGGCAGTGGAAGACCGAAGATCAGCATCGCAGCAAGAAAACCAGCATTTTCAGTGGTCATCAATGGCTGCCCTGTATTTAGCTGAGTCTAATGGGAACACTGATGAAGGACGGCAGCTCTGGGCTGGTGAAGGTGATAATAGGAAGGAAGGACACCTTCCAGCACAATGTCATTGTTTTGTACTGCCAGGAAATTCCAGAATCCTCAGCAGGAAACAACAATAGAAACAGTGTATCTGCAGGCGGGGCACATGACTGGGACAGGTCACATGACTGGAGCAGGTCATGTGACCAGGAAGTGTCAGACTTCAGACCATGCAGAGGGTAAGTGATCATAGGGCATTGCGTCTAATTCGCAGGGGATTTAACCCCTTGCTGGCAACAGCTTCTGTCTGGGGGGACACCGATGGACAATCTCTGGGAGCGAGAAAAGTTTATCCGATCGATGACGCCCCTGAGATAGCGCCAACCTAGACATAACTCATCAAGGCCCTCTCCATGATAACTATACACCTTGAGCAAGGCTGCTAAGAGGATTTATTACGACTGACTAAACCTCTCACTCCGGGGTGTAACTATGAATCATGGGGCCCCATGGCAAGATTATAATGGGACCCCCCACTAAGTGTAGTAGCTGGCAGTATTCCCCAATCAAGGGCAGGTGACAGGACAGGAGAGCTATCAGCATAGTCAGTACACTACTAGGGAGCAGTGCTGAGGGGAATAAGGTATACTGTACACTGGCGGAACTACCAGGGTTGCAGCAGTTGCAATTGCGACTGGGCCCTGGCATTCCGCCTGTTGGGGATGGCCCAGAGAGGAAGAAGATGGCCCGCAGCTCACTCATGCCCCTACCCCGAGATAGTGCCGCTCCGCCACCCGCCGCTCTGCCACCCACAGCAGTAGAAGCGGGCATGTACGGGCGGCTGTGCGCGAGTGATCAGTCACCTGTCCAGCAGAATGTGCTGCATGTACCGCCAGGCAGCACATTCTGCTGTGTGGGAGAGGACCCGCTCCACTTAGTTCCGCCCCCTGGCCGCCACGACGAAAAAGGTGCTGCAGGAGTCAGGTGAGTCTGCTGTGGGTAAAGGCAGGACCGGGAAGGGGGGGTGTGAAGCTGGTGGTATTCAATTATCATAATGTATTGCTGGGACTTGTAGTCCTGCATAGAGGGTGCTATTCTGCATTGCTGTATAACAATTATACAGCAATGCAGAATAGCACCAACTATGCAGGACTACAAGTCCCAGCAATATATTATATTATTAAGTAGGGATGCACCAGTGGCAATACTGGGTACTTGTGACTATACTGAGGTCTGACTTCAGCCCTTCTATACTGGAAACTTCAGGTTTTTTTTCCTAACAGCCTCCCTAATGGGGCCCCCTCCTACCCCAGGCCCCATAGCAGCCTAAATGTTATTTTGGTATTCCGCTGGTCTCATTGGCCCACAGAGGACCCGCTGGCTCTTATCCATGATGTCATAGTCTTTCTGTCTCTCTACAGGTGGTGACGGAGCGTGGTCACGTCTTGGCCCTCATGGCAAACATCTGTGTGGTGCTTCTGGCCTCATTGGTTTTGTTACCATCTATCTCAGGTGAGAAAATGTTATATTAGGGGAAATCCCGTATTATTCTTGAGTGACTAGGGCAGCAGAATGCTTTCCTTGAAACTAGAGCAGTGGTTCTCAACCTTTCTAGTGACGCGACCCCTTGGTAAAATTTGCTAAGTTGTGGTGACCCCCCAATGGTAAAATATTGGCTGTGCAGGCTCTCAGTGGGCTGTGCGGGCTCTCCGGTGGCCAGTGGGGCTCTCAGGTGGCCAGTGAGGGCTCTCTAGCAGTCATTGCAGCTGGTGGTCAGTGCGGCCACTATGATGGTCAGTGCAGGCTCTGTGGTGGTCAGTGCAGGCTCTGTGGTGGTCAGCGCAGGCTCTGTGGTGGCCAGTGTGGGCTCTGTGGTGGTCAATGCAGCTACTGATAGAATTAGAGCATTGTTTCTAACCTGGTGAGACATTGTTTCAAAGGCGGCCAGGCCTTGTTTCTAAACTGGTGAGGAATCAGAGGCCTTTAACATCAGAACTGTGGGTCAAACTTCTGTCAGTTATTTACTGCTGTCTGTCTGCCCAATGACATCAGTTTTTCCTGAAGTGGAGGGTGAGGCCTGGTGGAGAAAGGTTGGAGAGTCTTTGGCAGGTAGGTATTGCAGATCTGGCGGAAATAGGATGGAGTGTCTCTGATGGGAGGGTATTAGGGCTCTGGTGGAGAAAGGTTGGAGAGTCTCTGGTGGGAGGATATGGTTGAGAAATGTTACAGAGGCTCTGGTGGCAGAGTATTAGGGCTCTGGCAGCGAAAGGTTGGAGAGTCTGGCAGGAGGATATTGGGGCTCTGGCAGCGAAAGGTTGGAGAGTCTGGTAGGAGGATATTGGGGCTCTGGCAGAGAAAGGTTGGAGAGTCTGGCAGGAGGATATTGAGGCTCTGATGGAGAAAGGTTACAGATGTTCTGGCGGGAGGGTATTGGGGCTCTGGTGGAGAAAAGTTAGAGAGCCTCTGGCGGGGAAAGGTTGGAGAGACTGGCAGGAGGATATTGGGGCTCTGGAGGAGAAAGATTGGATAGTTTCTGGTGGGAGAGTATTGGGGCTCAGGTGGGAGGGTATTGGGTCTCTGGTGGAGAAAGGTTGGGGAGTCTCTGGTGGGAGGGTATTGGGAATCTGGTGGAGAAAGGTTGGAGAGTCCTCGTTTGTGAGGAAATTCGGGCTCTGGCGGAGAAAGGTTAGAGAGTCTCTGGTGGGAGGTTATTGGGCTGAATTGTTCCTTCCAGGTACCTGAAGTGACAATTTCCTTCCATCTCTCTATCTTTGGTGTTTTTTCAGGATCCCGTCCATGTGTCCCGGATAATTTTGGGCAGAGCTCCTTGGTGTGTCGATGTAATGCCACTTATTGTGACAGCCTGGATACCATCAACCTCCCAGTGCTGGGCACCTACAGTGTGTACGAGAGCAGCCAGAGTGGCAAACGGCTCGAGCTAAGCACTGGACCCATCATCAAGAAGCACTCTGCACCAAGTGGTAACTATTCTCCAGTGCCTGTTAGAAAAAAAACACAATGTGCTTCTTGTGTAAAATACAAAGGCCATTGTACAGGACTAGGTGGCTTTCCAAACCAGTATGGTGGGAGTCATTAGATCTGATGACTGCTATGGAAGGTTATATAAGGAATACCAGCCTATTGTACAGAACTAGATGGCGATCCAAACCAGTATGGTGGGAGTCATTAGATCTGAAGATTGCTCTGTAAGGTCACGTAATGGCCAATGAATACAAGGCCATGCTACAGGACTAGATGGGGATCCATAATGATATTTGGGCATCTATCCCATGCTAGTTAGTAGCTTTGATTAGTGTTCTGCTCATAAATGACCAAGTATAAGGTCTTTTTACAGGACCCCAAAGTCCCCATGGCGCCAAGCCCATCCACCACTATTCCAGGATAATAATGCTGCTTTTTAAACAGTATGCCTTTGTGATCCCTGGGATCATATCGAACACCTTTCATGGCCTCCTCAACCACCAGATCTAGACATCACTGACCCTTTATGATGAGTTCTGTAGATCTTACATAGAAGGGCCCTACTTTCTGCTTCTATATCATTAGGTGTTTCCATGTTTTTGTTAAAAGTAATGGATTTGTGATATTTATAAAAACTATTCCTTTTTTTTTTCTTGAGACCTAGTCCTCACACTGAATGACAAGAAGAAATTTCAGGTCATGAAGGGCTTTGGCGGAGCAGTGACCGATTCCGCTGCCCTGAACATTCTGGCATTGAGTGAAGGGACTCGAGACAACCTGCTGAGATCCTACTTCTCCGAGGAAGGTGACCGATTTCATCTTATTGGGGGTTAAAAGGATATTTCTCATCTTCTGAGGTTATAATGCTCACTTTCTTCTTATCGGTTAGGAATTGGTTACAATATTCTCCGTGTTCCCATGGCCAGCTGTGACTTTTCCACACGTATCTACACCTACCTGGATAAAGAAGGTGACTTCAGTCTGGAGTCATTTAGTCTGCAGGTGGAGGACACCAAGCTGAAGGTTAGATAAGAAGATGATAAAGTACCAAACATAGGTCTGTACATGTTTATGGTCATCCCAATACCTGTTTAATGTCCTCTTCTAGATTCCCATAATACAGAAGGCAAAGACCTTGTCGAAAAGGCCAATATCCCTGTTCGCCAGCCCCTGGACAGCCCCGCCATGGATGAAGACTAATGGTGACATCAAAGGGAAGGGAACTTTAAAAGGCTCTCCGGGAGATCGGTACCATAAGACCTGGGCCAACTACTTTATCAGGTCTTGTCTCTTCCGCCGTGTTGGGTTATCTCCCATACTTCATCCAGTTGAGATTAACCATCTGTTTTCTTTTAACTGTTCAGGTTTTTGGACGAATACGCCAAACACAATCTGACGTTCTGGGCGGTGACCGTGGAGAATGAACCCACGGCTGGGATGATAGAGGGCTATCCATTCCAGTGTTTGGGTTTCACACCGGAGCAGATGAGGGACTTTATCGCCAAGGATCTGGGCCCGGCCTTTGCCAACAGTTCTCACAAAGATGTTCAGATCATGATAATTGATGATAATCGGATTCTTCTGCCATACTGGGCTGAGGTGGTGAGTGAACCCACTGCAGGTTATTGTGTGACTTCTGTTCATTAAAGCTGATGCAGTGTAGGTCCAGAAGTCCAACACACAGTAGTCCAGCAGAGGCATGAGCAGGACAGGTATTTAGGATAGGCCTGATATAACTAAGATTCACTATTTCCTGTCTGACTTGTCTTTGCAGATTCTATCAGACCTGGAGGCTGCCCGTTACATTCATGGCATCGCTGTCCACTGGTACCTGGATGCAATTATACCTGCAGATCTCAGTCTGGGCCGCACTCATGACCTCTACCCAGAATACTTCTTGTTTGCCAGTGAGGCCTGTGCTGGTGCAATGCCTTGGGATAAGGGGGTGCATCTAGGATCCTGGAAGTCAGGGAACCAATACAGCCATCGTATTATAGAGGTGAGCCAACAGCCACCATCTGCCTTTGGTGTCTATTGTGTTATGGCATTTCTTTCTAAGTAGCTTTTTTAGAGATGCTTCTGGCCTGCAAGTCTCCAACCACCCCTTTCCCCCTGCCCAGTCCGTAGAATGATCCTGGCCTACAAGTCTTCGACTATCTCCAAAAGTTCATAGATCAGAATTGTCCTGGCTTGGCCTACAAGTCACAGAGCCCTGTCGTTCCTTAGAAGTGTCCTGGCCTACTAGTCTCTGACTCCCCGCAGACTGTAGAATGGCCCTGGCCTACAAGCCTCTGACTCTCCCCAATTCTCTAGAATGGTCCTGATATACAAGTCCCTGACTCCCCACAATGTGTAGTATGGTCCTGGACTGACCTACAAGTCACTGACTCCCACCATGAACTCTCCCCAGTCGGTCCTAGCCTACAAGTCTCTGAATCCCCCAAGTCTGTGGAATGGTCCTGGTGTAGAAGTCTCCAACTCCCCCATCTGTAGAAGGCTCCTGACTCCCCAGTATGTGTAGTATAGTCCTGGCCTACATGTTTCTGAATCACCCAGTGTATAGAATGGTCTTGACCAAAAAGTCATTGACTACCCCCAATCTGTAGAATAGTCCTGCCTTACAAGTCATGAACTCTCCCCAGTCTTTCCTAGCCTACAAGTCTATGAATCCCCCTAGTCTGTAGAATGCTCCTGGCCTACAAGTCCCTTACTTCCCACTATGTGTAGTATGGTCCTGGCCTACAAGTCCCCGAATCGCCCAGTCTGTAGAATGGTCCTGACCAAAACGTAATTGACTCCCCCAATCTGTAATCGTGGCTTACAAGTCACAAACTCTTCCCCGTCTGTCCTACTTTACAAATCTCTGAATCCCCCTAGTCTGTAAAATGGTCCGGGTGTAGAAGTCTCCAACTCCCCCTAGTCTGTAGAATGGTCCTGGTGTAGAAGTCTCCAACTCCCCCTAGTCTGTAGAATGGTCCTGGTGTAGAAGTCTCCAACTCCCCCTAGTCTGTAGAATGGTCCTGACCAAAAAGTAATTGACTCCCCCCATCTGTAATCCTGGTTTACAAGTCACAAACTCTTCCCAGTCTGTCCTGGCCTACAAGTCACCGACTCCACCTAATCTATAGATTGGTCCTGAACTACAAGTCACTGATTCCCTCCAATCTATAGAATGGTCCTGGCCTACAAGTCACCGTAATTCTCATTTTTCTTTCCCTCTTGCAGGATCTCAATTACCATGTGACAGGGTGGACGGACTGGAACCTGGCACTGGACATCAGTGGGGGCCCCACGTGGGTGGGGAACTACGTGGACAGTCCCATTATTGTTGATCTAAAGAAAGACGTTTTCTACAAGCAGCCTTCCTTCTACCACATGGCTCACTTCAGGTAAGACAGCATGTGGTGCCTGCACAAATATTGGCATCACCGGGACTGCCACTCACACGAGCTCTTGTTTTGTGAATGCAGCAAGTTTATTCCAGTCGGGGCCCAGCGAGTCGGACTAGACGCCAGCCACAAGAATCTTTTGGAGAGCGTTGCCTTCCTGTGTCCAGATGGGTCAGCCGTTGTGGTCATTCTGAATAGGTGGGTGGTCCACAGTAGGGTCCAAAGACTTCCAAATCACATAATCTAGAATGAGCTTTATGGAAAGGTAACTCCACCAAAAACTAAAAAACTTCAATGACCAGATCTTTAGTGGCTAGATCACTGCTTGAAGTTCCCAGGCCTTCACATCTGGGGTGCCCATTATGAGGGGTTACCACCTTCCCTAAAATTAGTTCCTGGGTCTGCATGCCTGCTGTGCCCATTATGAGGTGTTTCCACTATCTCTGCACTGGGATCTCAGGTTTGCACACCTGCCATGCCCCTTATGAATGTCTCCAACCATCCCTGTGGTACACCTGCTGTGCCCATTATGAGGGGCTCCCACCATCCCTGTGCTGAGTTCCTTGGTCTGTACACCTGCTGTGCCCATTATGAGGCGCTCCCTCCATCCCTGAGCTGAGTTCCCGGGTCTCTACGCCTGCTGTGCCCATTATGAGGGGCTCCCACCATCCCTGTGCTGAGTTCTCGGGTCTGTACACCTGCTGTGCCCATTATGAGGGGCTCCCACCAGCCCTGTGCTGAGTTCCTTGGTCTGTACCCCTGCTGTGCCCATTATGAGGGGCTCCCACCAGCCCTGTGCTGAGTTCCTTGGTCTGTACCCCTGCTGTGCCCATTATGAGGGGCTCCCACCAGCCCTGTGCTGAGTTCCTTGGTCTGTACCCCTGCTGTGCCCATTATGAGGGGCTCCCACCAGCCCTGTGCTGAGTTCCTTGGTCTGTACCCCTGCTGTGCCCATTATGAGGGGCTCCCACCAGCCCTGTGCTGAGTTCCTTGGTCTGTACCCCTGCTGTGCCCATTATGAGGGGCTCCCACCAGCCCTGTGCTGAGTTCCTTGGTCTGTACCCCTGCTGTGCCCATTATGAGGGGCTCCCACCAGCCCTGTGCTGAGTTCCTTGGTCTGTACCCCTGCTGTGCCCATTATGAGGGGCTCCCACCAGCCCTGTGCTGAGTTCCTTGGTCTGTACCCCTGCTGTGCCCATTATGAGGGGCTCCCACCATCCCTGTGCTGAGTTCCCGGGTCTGTACACCCGCTGTGCCCATTATGAGGGTCTCCCACCATCCCTGCACTCAGTTCCCGGGTCTGCGTCCATGATGTCAGTATGCTAATGACAGTGTGTCAGTTTCCTGCAGCAATGAACCTCCTTTCATATTTCTCTCCCTTCCAGAGAGTCTCAAGATGTGAAGTTCAGCATTTCGGACCCGGCCCTGGGGGCGATAGAAACCATTTCTCCAGCAAACTCCATCCGGACGTATCTATGGAGACGCCAGTGATCGCCACGACACAGCAGAGAGGACCGCGAACTCGCCGCCGCCGCCGCCACCACCACCACAATGGCGCTGTGACGCACAGGAGCGCCCATCCTGACCACACGTGCTCGCTGTTTCATTCATCCTTAAAGGAACACTCCGCCTTTCAAGTTTTCTTTATGGCAGGACGATTACTTCATCAGGGAAGTATGAGAATTGCCGCTGTGTCGGCTCTTGTAGTAACCATTAGAAATGATGCTCAATGGATAACTCAAGAGCCTGTATAGTACAAAATGAACAAGGCTGATGATACGTCACATAAAGTTGATTATTGCGCTGCCTTGCCTGACGGCGTTGGTTAGAAAGAAGGGGCAATGGTGAGATACAACGTAACAGTCTCATTGGTTGTGTGTCTGTCTTGCAGTATTAACATTTCAGCCACTAGGGGGTGCACAGGCGGCCCCTAGGTGGCGTCCAGGAGCCACGGATGGCTCCATCTGTTTTGTCCATAAGTCTTCTCCGGCCACTGCGAGAAATTCCTTCCAGGCTGCGAGCGCAGAGCAAACATGGCAGCGGTCTGATTGCTGGGGAAAGGGGGGGGGGGTTTGTACAGCGCGTCCCGGTGCTCGGCCCCCCTCCGACAAGTAAACACAATCTGGTTTGTGTATACGGAGTGACGGCAGCGTTCGGGTAATTACGGACTTGGCTCGGCGACAACCAGGCTTATGTGGAGCACTCCGCCCGGCTCTTCCTGGCAGCGGTGAAGCATAGCTCCGCAATGACGTGACCCTTGGTTTATAGATGACGGTGGGGGGGAAGAAGAAGGGGGCCCCCCACTCCTACTAGTTAGCATTCACATATCACCGCAGACTTCCACCTCCGCCTGCTCCCATCTGCCCCTTACTACTACCGGTGCTCGGCCCCCCTCCGACAAGTAAACACAATCTGGTTTGTGTATACGGAGTGACGGCAGCGTTCGGGTAATTACGGACTTGGCTCGGCGACAACCAGGCTTATGTGGAGCACTCCGCCCGGCTCTTCCTGGCAGCGGTGAAGCATAGCTCCGCAATGACGTGACCCTTGGTTTATAGATGACGGTGGGGGGGAAGAAGAAGGGGGCCCCCCACTCCTACTAGTTAGCATTCACATATCACCGCAGACTTCCACCTCCGCCTGCTCCCATCTGCCCCTTACTACTAGTTAGCAATTATCTTCTATTCACACATCATCATAGTCTTCCTCCTCTCTGCTCCCATGTGACCTCTCGCTCTTCCCTCAGCCCCTTACTACTAGTTATCAATCACACATCACCGCAGTCTTCTTCCTCCGCTGCTCCCAACTGACCTCTCGCTCTTCCCTCTGCCCCTTACTACTGGTTAGTATTCACACACACACATCACTGCAGTCTTCCTCCTCCGCTGCTCCCAACTGACCTCTCGCTCTTCCCACTGCTCCCATGTGACCTCTCGCTCTTCCCTCTGCCCCTTACTACTGGTTAGTATTCACACACACACACACATCACTGCAGTCTTCCTCCTCCGCTGCTCCCAACTGACCTCTCGCTCTTCCCACTGCTCCCATGTGACCTCTCGCTCTTCCCTCTGCCCCTTACTACTGGTTAGTATTCACACACACACACCACCGCAGTCTTCCTCCTCCGCCTGCTCCCGTCTGACCTCTCGCTCTTCCCACTGCTCCCGTCTGACCTCTCGCTCTTCCCTCTACCCCTTACAACTAGTTATCACTCACATATCACCGCAGTCTTCCTCCTCCGCCTGCTCCCATCTGACCTCTCGCTCTTCCCTCTGCCCATTACTACTAGTTATCATTCACATATCACGCACCCCATCATTTACATTCTGTTCATAAATCCCGCAGTCTTCCTCCTCTCTGCTCCCATGTGTCCTCTCACTAATCCCCGTACTACTAGTCATCATACAACTTCTGTTCATAAATCCCGCAGTCTTCCTCCTCTCTACTCCCATGTGACCTCTCACTAATCTCAATGCCCCGTACTACTAGTCATCATTTACATTCTGTTCATAAATCCTGCAGTCTTCCTCCTCTCTGCTCCCATGTGACCTCTCACCAATGCTGTTGCCTATTACCACTATGATCATTACTGATATAAAATGCCGCCATTTACTTCTACACCTCCTCCACTTCCTCTCACCATAGCTGCCGGCCAGGTGGGGCCTCCTTCCACATGGTGGTGGTGCTACTCCAGAAAACAAACAGTGCAGCGTTGCTCGGGAATGGTGACTCTGCCGTCAAAGTATTAAATAAATAAATAAAAAAAGGGGGTCTGATCTGTGTACTTGTTATGGTTTAATGACTTCAAAAATAAAAGCCCAAGGAGCTGACACTCATTTACAGACTTGCAGGTCTGTGATTTAACAGTACTAAACCCCCAGCCAGGCAACAAGCATTTCCAGAAGCATTGTCCCCGTACAACTCTCAGGACCGGGGTGCACACACCTCTCGCTGCAGGTTCAGCCTATAACACTCACCTGTGATGGGTCTACACATGACTTCTCAGAGGTTAGCAGCCGGAGACATGTGACTGATACACACGAGGGACAGACATGTCCGAATACTCTCAAAGAACGCATCAGTGTGTACACAGCTAGTAGATCGTTGGGAGGATTATCACTGGAAGGGCAAGGAGGGAAGGCAGGACAGGCGGAAAATGGCAGATGGAGGGAAGGCAGCAGTGAGGACAGAGTTCTTGATGGCAGATGGGGGTAAGACTGCACAGAGAGGGAAGGCAGGACAGATAGAGGGAAGGCAGAAAGAGGAAAAGCAGATAGGGGTAAGGCAGGACAGACGAAAGGAATACACATGGAGGGAAGGCAGGACAGACAGTGAGAAGGCCGAATGGATGGCAGATGGAGGGAAGGCAGGACAGACAGTGAGAAGGCCGAATGGATGGCAGATGGAGGGAAGGCAGGACAGACAAAAAGGAATAGCAGACAAAGGAATGCACATGTAGGGAAGGCAGGACAGATAAAAAGGAATGCACATGGAGGGAAGGCAGGATAGACAAAGGAATGCACATGGAGGGAAAGCAGGACAGACGGGTGGACGATGCGTCTCTGAACTCTGCCGGTGTCAGTGCCGTCTATAAACACTGCGTTATGTAAGAGAAGGAATGAGGGAGGACGAGCCAGCTCCCCAGCAAATGTTCCGTTTCCTTCTCACACTCTGTATAAAAATATTTTGGCTGAACTGGGCACAGAACACTTCCTGCCCCAGATAAGTGATCACATATTGTACAACCTGGAATGGAAAATCAATGCTGCAATCCGATTGGCCGTCATGTGTACTGCCCAGATACGGGGGAGACCGGCATGCCTGGAAATGACTTGTGATTGATCAGGAGGTCCTGATTGGTAAGTCCAGCTGAGCTGACAACCTT